CTGTAAAAGTTTATCCCAGAAGCTGTGGGGAGCAAAGATTTTGAAGGAGGAATGAAGAGATGTTAGAGGATGATACCACGTGTGTTTTGGGAACTTGAGTAGCAGCAGAAATGGAGTTGGAAGGGACATGCTTATGTCACTTGTTTGTTCTATTTGGTTCTAGAATCTTATCAGCAATGTACTTTAACATTTTAGCAAATGGACTGACTCTTTATTCTCCTTTGCTGTTTTCATAGTCCTAACACGCATGTGTCAGCACCTTGCTCTGGGTATCTGTCACAGCAGCACCTCGCTCTGGGTACCCGTCACAGTGCCGTGAGCAGGGTTCCCCTGCATGACACTGAACAAGCCAGTCTTGGTCCTAGAGAAGCCCAGGACCCACATGGAAAGGCAGAGTTAGGAGAAAAGTTGGGCCCGGAAAGAACAGAATTGACGATTCTTCTTTTTCCAAACCCCTCTCAGTTCCAGGCATAGTGCTTTCTGCACTGTGTGGAACATGGAGCAGTCGTTGAACAAATGAGCAGGTGCTTCATGGAGGAGGCAAAATACCAAAACTCATTTTCATAGTAGTCAGGGGCTCCCTGGAGGTTGCAGACAAAGTTCCACAAAGAGGATCTGTTTAACCTGGGGCTGGGAGGTTGGTTGCAGTTTTATTTTTGGAGGGTCATGCGGGGACCAGTCTGTTCCCCAGGTAAAGTACGAAGCAGGAAGAGTCCTGTACTTCTGTGTGGAAGACAGGATAGGGAGCCCTGTGAGCTTAGGGGTTGGCTGGGGTTGGGAAACAGACTCCAGTCTTGGGATAGGGTTGGTTGATGGGGGTAGAGCAGGAGGATTATGTGGTTGACAGACAATATAGATTTCCAGAATGATCACATTTTTTCCAACATACAATACCAATGTTTACAAACAAATGGTTGGAAGCTGGCTCGGCGCCTGTGGCTCAAGCGGCTAAGGCGCCAGCCACATACACCTAAGGTGGCGGGTTCAAATCCAGCCTGGACCCGCCAAACAACAATAATGGCTGCAACCAAAAAATAGCCGGGCGTTGTGGTGGGCGCCTGTGGTCCCAGCTACTAGGGAGGCGGAGGCAGGAGACTCGCTTGAGCCCAGGAGTTGGAGGTTGCTGTGAGCTGTGATGCTACAGCACTCTACCCAGGGGGACACTTTGAGGCTCTGTCTCAAAAAAAAAAAAAAAATGGTTGGAAGCTAACGCATGAAAGCCAGGCTTTAGGAAATTTCATCTGTAATGGCTCTGCGGCCCACCACCCAGCCTTTAAACGTACAGTCTTCATATTTCGCTTCAGGAGTTGTTTGCCCAGAAACCCTTTCTTCCAACTCTGCCTCTCTAGTGACAGTCTAGGTTGGTTCCTGGTTGCTGGAGGGATGAAATGGAATGAAATCAAATGAAGTCTTTGCGTCTCTCCACCCGTATCTCCCATTTCCTAATTACCACCATTTGCATGTACACACCCCCCCATACCTTCCTAATAAATTTGTTGCTCTCATCTGTCCCATCTTCTCAGTAAGGACCTTTTCATTTCTGCAAGCCAAACACTCCCCTTTTAAACCTTGCTGACGATTAACCTCCATTATGAAGTATTTCTGGACTCTTCCTAACCAGATCACATTTCTCTGAAGTTTCGTTTTCTCATCTGCAGAACGGCATATAGGGTTGACTTGAGCATTAAGAAAATCTACCTAGAAGAGCTTGTTTTCCTGTAAGGTGTGTAGGCAGGTGCACGGAGCATGCTCCCTCGAGCCAACACCAGCACCAGGAAGAGCCAGGGCATTCCCTGCCATTGGCTGTCACTGGGCTTTGGCACTTTTCGGGGGGATGGGAAAGGCATGTCTAATTGGGGTGCCTGCATCAAGACCCTTAAGTATAAAGGATGACTGCAGAGTGGAACTTTACCGAGTAGAACAGCAAGGTGGTGAGGAGAATCCACGATCAGAGCTGAGAGCTGTAGCAACCCGGTTTCCTGTGGGGTGAGTGTGAGGGAAGTTTCCGTGGGCAAGGTGTCATTTGCAATCTAGCAGGGACCATTCCGACGGTTCTTCATAGGTAACGGCCTGGTGGTCATTATGTGTCGGGGCCTGATTCAGAGCTAGGGACGGTGGCTGCTTACTAAATGGTTGTCAAATGAATAGTATGACCCCTGATAAACATTTAATATGTGTTGTTTAGTCTGTGTAGCTGTCATAAATATAAAATTATTTAAATGAACCCCCCGCTTGCCATTTAAGACATAGAAATGAATTTTAAAGTGGTGTTAGAAAATAGCAAAAACTATGGGATGCACGGTGCTGAAACTCCGGTGTGAGACGGAATCACCAGCCATGTAACCGTGTCAGGGTGACGCGACCTCCGGACTCATGTTTTACCTGTGGAGCACACACCTGTCTGCCCGGCGCTGTTCTCTTGGATCCATTGGGGAACATTTGGACATCGCAGTTCTTATGGGAGAAAATTGTTATCTCAATTAAAAATATCTGTTATTTAAAGTCTATTCAGCGTCCTCCTATATCTGCAACCTTTTAAGAGAAAGAAATCAATCCATGAAGTGGACTCTATAGACATTTCAATGTCTTTGTTTGTTCTTGCTTCTGTCTGCCTGTTTACACCGTAATATTAATAACGGCAGCATTTTAATGAGCTCTGACTGAATCATCTTCAGAGAGTTGGAGCAGCGCGTTCCTTGGAGACACGTAACTGAAGTTCCCAGGTTCTGGAGGGAAGTCTGTTACTCATTAGCTGGGACAGCTGAGAGAGTGTGTGCTCGGGAGAGTGGGAGCCGGCACAAGCCCACCTGTGCGACGCCGGGGCCAGGCAGCATCTCCGCCTGCTGTGGGGCCACCCCAGGGCTTTCATTAAAAGTGTCAGACGGTTTCCCTGGAGCGTGTGCTGATGGCATGTCATGGCAGTGTCTCTGGAGGAGCAGTGCTGACACCTACTAATAGTCTGACAAACAGCTAAGTGGCTGTTTCAGCCGGGTTGAGCCGTCGAACTCGGGGTACCTGCGTGTTCCGCCCAGCGCACGTGTTCCCAGGCGTTAAGGAAGCGTGTGGTTCTGCTCTGGCCGACTCTTTCCCATTCAACTCCAGCCCCATGCTCTGCAAAAAACATGCCCAGAGTAACCTGTCTTTAAATAAGCAAGACTTTTTGCAGACACAGATAGATGTTTGGGTTTGTTTCGTTTTGACTGCTGCTTGCTGTGTGTGTGGCATTTCCCAGCATAGGTTTTAGAGGAGGAGTCCGAGCCCACTTGTGTCATGAAGGCTGAGGAGCCACTATGCCTTTCACGAGCCCCAGGAGGTCAGGCTGGGTACTTGGCCAGGTACTTTGCGTTTATATTCAGTGAGGCAAAGAAGCAGGAGGAGAGTTCACATCACATTGGGAGCAGCCACGGTCAAGGTCCAGCGATGGGAGTGCCATGGATCCAGCATTCTGGGGACACAAAGACCACACCGGACTTTTCCTGGGGTGGAATATTGACTGGACTTATGTGCTTAAGTATTTTTTGGTTTATAGTGATTTTTAAGCTTGATTTTCTAGCCTTTGTAAGTATTCTGAGAACTGTTCAATATTTTTTTTTATTAAATTCCTTTTCTGCCACATTTAGATGGGCTGTTTCCCTGCTGTCTGTAGTTGAGAACCCTAGCTCAGTGCCCATGGCTGGGTCATCATCTATTGGTAACTGAGATAATAGCATTGACTTAAAAGCTCTGACCAGGCACCCAAATGTCCCGGGCCCTGGTCAGTTGAATAGACTCTCCTGTTTAATACTGACCATCACCCATGCCTCTGATCTTCTTGCCCATTTTTTAAAAAAGATGTTCTTCATGCAGGCTCTTGTACACATTACTCTTCCTGTGGGAGTCTGGTAGCTCAGAGTTCCTGGTTACTAAGTGAATTAAGTGTGGGTTCAGTAACCTAAATGGGGTCCCATCAGTCAAGAGACTGGAGCACTCTCTGTTTTAGGCCCTGCCCCAGCACTCCTTGGCCATTTGTTGGAGAAGCATCTGTCTTGGTGACCCCAATTAATTTAGCAAGCACTGCTTTGTAAAGTGCCAGCGTGCTGTGGAGACAGGACATGGTGGAGCTATTCATTCTGTCCCTGACAGTTCCAATTCTGATCCCTCTGCCAAAACCAGCCAAAGGGACGTGAGTTTTCACTTGGCAACTCTCTGGATCCAACTTTAGATTTGGAATCTTCTTACCATTTTTGGGTGACGAGGATAGAAAAAGAAGAGGTAAGGTGGGAGAAGAAAAGGATGAGCTTAACTTTTTTTAAGTTAAAAATTCTGACCTTTATTGAATTATACTTTAACATATTTCATGGCACCAAAAATGTATCGGGGTGTCCAATCTGCACGGTGCCCAGAGACCGCGTGCAGATAATGTGAGGCCTATTTTGCATGGTGGTGTTAAATATCACAAAAATGATGCATGGCCCTTTTTCTGTGCATATCAGCTTTCATTGATTTTTTTTTTTTTTTTTTTTTTTGAGACAGAGTTTTGCTATGTTGCCCTCGGTAGAGTGCTGTCACATCACAGCTCACAGCAACCTCAAACCCTTAGGCTGAAGCCATTCTCTGGCCTCAGCCTCCCAAGTAGCTGGGACTACAGGTGCCCGCCACTACCCCCAGCTACTTTTTGGTTGCAGTAGTTGTTTAGCAGGCCAGAGCCTGGCTCGAACCCTCCAGGTTTGGTGTATGTGGGTGGCGCCCTACTTGCTGAGCTACGGGCACCGAGCCTTGTAGATGTTTTTGTGTTTACTGTGTGGCCCAAGATAACTCTTAATCTTCCAACATGCAGCAGAGAAGAAACAAGTTGGATACCCTTGATAGAATCATGGTCATTCTAGATACTCGACACAGCTACATGTTCAGTCACTCAGGAGCAGGGTGTTAACTCCTCAGAGCCATTTTTGTACTTTTTTATACTTTGTCCACTTTGAGATTCGCTTGTCTTTGACAACATTGTGGTGTTCTCTTTCCAGGGAAGAGCGATCCTTTTTGCTTGTTGGAGTTAGGCAACGACCGACTTCAGACACATACTGTTTACAAGAACCTCAACCCTGAATGGAACAAAGTTTTTACATTGTAAGTGTTTTAGCCTCTGGAAACTGAGGAAAGGCTCTAATTTAGAGAACAATTATCCTTGCTATGTTTGGGGCAAGCTGGGGCTCTCGAGTGGAATGTTCTGTCCATTTTTATGGGCAAGGGGTGTATTTTATTGTTTTTTTCTTCTGAAAGCCTTTTATCCTTTCACAGAGTATGGTGTTAATAATGGGAGAGACCATTGAGGGCTGCCAAGGAGGGTTACAGGAGGTGTTTGTAAGTCGATCTTTTAGTGAGTGACCACATTAATCTGAGTAGCTGGAAGCCTCCGTCATGTCTAGATTAATTCATTCCTGGGTTACAGAAAGTTACTAATGAAGACTTGCCTTAAATTCAAGGAGCTTATATGTTTTAACATTATTTTACTGCAGTGGTTCTCAACCTTCCTAAAGCCACAACCCTTTAATACATAGTTCCTCATGTTGTGGTGACCCCCAACCATGAAAGTATTTTCGTTGCTACTTCATAACTGTAATTTTGCTACTGTTATGAATCATAATGTAAGTATCTGATATGCAGGATGTATTTAGGTGACCCCTGTGAAAGGGTCATTCTACCCTCAAAGGGATCACGACCCACAGGTTGAGTACTACTGTTTTATGGCTTATATTCTGCCAGAATTACAGGTTATCTGTGGATTGTTAAAGACTCCAAAGTCTCTTTGTATTTCAGTTTATCTGAGTGACCTACCTCATAGCGATGCCCTGCCCACTCTATCAAAGTCAGGGATTTAGGAGGCCGGATATATTTAATTTTCCTAGATTTCTTTTTCTTTCTTTCTTCTTTATTTTTACTTTATTTAATTTATTTTGAGACAGTGTTATTTTGTCTCCCTGGGTTGAGTTCTGTGGCATCATAGCTCACAGCAACCTCAGATTCCTGGGCTCAAGTGATCCTCTTGCCTTGGTCTCCCAGGCAGCTGCCACAATGCCAGGCTATTTTTAGTAGAGACAGGGTATTTCTTTTGCTCAGGCTGGTCTTGAATTCTTGAATTCAAGCAATCTATCCCCTCAGCCTTCTAAAGTGCTGGGATTACAGGCATGAGCCAATTTTCCTAGTTTTATTTAGATTCCAAAGCACAGGAACGATGGGGGAGACCCCTGTTGAATTTGGGAAGAATGGTAGTATACTTCCCCCACAAGGCTGAATAAATGCTCTCTCTGTGCTTACCAATGAAAAAGAAAGAAATAAATGAAGTTCATTTTACGCAGAGTTAATGGTCTTAATAGAAAGTTCCCAAGGACCTACCAGGAGTGGACTAATTCTGCCAAACAGGTTTGCCCAATGCCAGGTATAAGTTTCTCTTGTTTTCCTAAAACATTGCCCATGGTCAAAGCTTCCTTTTTTCATTGTTGCTGATGTCTGACTTCTGGACAATATAAAACAGTGTTTCAAAATGTTCTTAGTAGTTTGTGTTTCAACAATGGGAGCCTTTTGGTGTATTTCAGCAAAAGTGATTTCACCAACTTTTTTTTTTAAGAGCTAATTCTTTAAAGAAAATGTTATTTTCACTCTTCTGCTTTGGAGACTTCTTTGAAATCTCTTTGCTTTGACCCTGCTCTTTGTTTCTCCCCTTCTCTTTCTCACCCCGTTTCTTTCACAGGACCCACCCTTGAGTACACATAGACTGTATGGGAAATGTCACAGTAAAAAGTTGACTTCTTTTTTTCATATGGATGTCTAAATCGTCTGTGATGGAAGGTTTGGGAATACAGTCAGTTTGATTTAATTTTTGGAATTTAATTAAATGGTAGTTTTATACTCTAAGGACAGACAGGCTTAATTAGTGAAACTGTTTTCAGATCTTCATGGAACAGACTTCACGTGTGTGTTTTTGTGTATAATACTTGGCACTTTTGGTTTCAGTCCCATTAAAGATGTCCATGATGTTTTGGAAGTGACAGTGTTTGATGAAGATGGAGATAAACCCCCCGATTTTCTTGGGAAAGTCGCCATTCCCTTGCTCTCCGTAAGTTCCCTTTATTAATAAACAATTTGTGAGTCATTTTACAGTTGTTGAGTTTCTATGGTCTGCAGTTGGGCTGAATCTTAGCCTGGGGGTGGGGGGAGCCCCTCTTTGATATAGCAGAGAGGTACTGTTTTATTTCTTCTTCTTACCCCAGTATCCTCAGCAGTTTTATCCTTAAAGGAGCATTTGTGTGTGTGTGTGTGTGTGTTGTCAGTCCAAATTGATTTAACCAACCAACACAGTTTGACTAATCTTTCAGTGTACTCTCAATCTTCCCATTTTAAGAGGCGAGTTTCTATTTGTTCACGAGGAATATAGAGCCTTGACTGACTGTCCATTTATTAATGAGAAACACATGTGTGTATTTCTTTCTACCTCCTTCCTGCACGTTTCCTCAAAGATTAATTGTTGGTAACCGCACATTTGTTCTCAGTACTACTAAAGACCATTTTCCCAGAAGTTCTATTTGTCTTTTTTAGTAGTCACATTTGCTTTAAATCTCAAAAAAAAAAAAACACAAACACTTTGTGGAAGAAAGCACAGAGCCTCTCTTGAAGAAGAGAGTGGGCAGTCCATTTAAAGGATAATACACAGGACCAGCGACAGGGAAAAGCTGGCTAAAAAAGTACGTATGAAAGTCGGAAGGCATTCATAGATGCCGTTATAGGAGCAAAAAAGAAAAGCTAGAGAACAAATTCACCTCTTAATTGGACATTAATGTGTCATCAAATGTGCTCTTCTAGAAGAGAGAATTTCAGCTTTCCACCCGACCACTGATATAATTTGTTACAGACTCATTATAGCTTTATCAGCCAATGGGACTTTCTTTCTTCCAAAAGACTTAAGTTTGCCAAAACTGTGCATTTTGTGGATGGAGCCTGTGTGTAATTTAACCATGAGATTAGCCTAGCTCGCAGGATGTGTACGGAGGGAGGAATGCTGTCCCTCTTCATATTTCTTCTTCTGTTTTTGCTCGCTTGGTTAATTTCTCCCCAAGTTCTCATATCCCTGATGTTACTCGAAGAGGCTGCCTGAAGCATCTGCTCCCTGGTACAGCCGGCTCCTGCCAAATGCTCTGAGCTGTCGGCACCAGGCCGCACAGCTCACAGAGAGGAGATGGTA